TTGAGCTTGATGTCCCCTGCGACTATGGTCCCAAGCCCTCAGGATCAACTACTCGGTCCCTCTGGGTAGCTGGCTGTGACCAAGTAATGACCACAACCTTGCCCCTTGTCAGCTCTACTATACACCTGGGAATTCTGATCATTCACATGAACTTATCGGCCCATTGTCAAGGCAAGATATTTTTAAGACTATTGGGCCATAATTTATTTTACCAGTTTATTATTGTTGCTGTTGTTAGGTGCCATCTAGTCATCTCCAACTCATAGCGACACTATATTTATGGAGACTTTTACCAGTTTACAGGTACTTTTAAAAATCAATTTATTCAACCATATAATTGGAATCATACAATATGCAACCTTTTCAGAATGGATTCTTTCACTTAGTATTGTGCATTTAAGATTCATTCATTTCTTTTTATTTCTAATTACCCTTATGGAAATATACCACAGTTTGTTTATCCTTTCATCATCTTGGTTTCTTCCAATTTTGACAATTATGAATAAAGATATTACAATTTTTTTTTTAATTAACTTTTTCAGTTCCCCTTCCACACATAATAGATGAGGAAACTAAGGAATAGTTGCCCTAGGACTGAAAGGCTTCCTAATTTCTAGTTTTTTTCCTAGTACATGTGATTATCCACCGTGGCTGAAATAAGAGGAAATGATGTAGCGAGAGGGACTGAGGAATTACGTGGAAACAGAAAATCAAGCTCTATTTTTTAAATAAAAAAGACCAAGAGGAGACACCAGTTGGCTGAACTGAATCTCAGTGGAATTGTCTAGTGTTTGCCTGGGAACTAAAGGCATTTAGCCCAGAAAGTGCTGACAAAGGAGACGATTGTGAAAATCTGAGCAGAAAAGTAGCAAAACTTTCTGGCAATGGATGAAGGCAGATGGAAATTGGAAGCTTGCATTTTGACCTATCAATGAAGATTTTTAGGGAGAATGCGTCTTTAACATCCTGGAGATTATTGAAGACCACCAGGAAGCTTGACTTAGATTTCTCTGGTTTTCTTTTCCTCTGTCAGGCTTATTCCCCCCACTTCGGATTAGCCAGCCTGTTCAGGGTAAAGAGGGGCTCAGTACTCATTGTCCTTGTCTTTTCCTTTTTAAAAAGAACAACTCAACCCACCAATTAACCAACTAGGGAAAGCAAACTGAAAAGCATTGATGGTCAAACCTAGTCTTGCTTAAAAATCACCTGGTGAGCTTGTGAATCACAAAAATGACTGGACCCCATCTCAACTCAATGCCACACAATGCACTGCCATCCAGTCAGATCCAATTCATAGCAACTCCTCCTTGGGTTTCCAAAGCGGTATCACTACAGAAGTAAATTGCCCAACCTTCCTTCCGAGGAGTGGCTGGTGGATTTGAACTGCCATCTCAATGAAGAAGAATCGGGACAATCTCTGGAATGGGACCTGGGCACTCCTATTTTTAAGGAAGGGCCACCAGCTAATTCTAATGTGCTACAGGTTTGGGAAATACTGCACTATAAGATAGGGCATTTGGAAGCATGTCTTGAGATTCGAGATCTAGCTTCAGCTCTGCCACTAAAAGTCTCTGTAATCTAGAGAATTTTTTTCTTCCCTGGGCCTCTGTTTCCTCATTTGGAAAATAGTTAACTCCAAAGATCTCTCTCTGCACAACGTAAGGTCTCATTTTGTCCCTTTTGTACCTGCAGAACTAAATGCACTTCAGGAGGAGCTGAAACCCTTTGGTCTGGTTGTTTTGGGCTTTCCCTGCAACCAATTTGGAAAACAAGAACCAGGAGAGAACTCAGAGATCCTTCCTGGACTCCAGTGAGTCCTGCTTGAAACCCAATAGGAGGCTCCTGTTTACTTTTTCCAAGTTGGGGACTTCTAGGGTGGGGTGGGTCTGAGTGGTGGTGATGGTGCATCGATAAGCACTGGACATCCACAAGCTTTGGCCTAACTTAATGAGAGTCTAGCAATGGCCAAGGTCTATCACTCCATCCCTGGGTAATAAGCCTGGATAGACCTGTGGAGGGGGAAGAGCACAGAAATAACTGGTACAGAAATAGTGGATTGAATGCTAGAACTCAAAGTCTAAATGTGGCCATATTTTCCCTCCCCATTCTCATCTACTATTCATCCACCTTTTTCTGCCCTTTCCTATGACCTCAAATTGTGGGGTTCCACTGTAACTTTCTCTTTCATGTTCTGGAGATTCCTGGGAACATTGTGGTTCATTGCAGGTATGTCCGTCCAGGAGGTGGATATGTACCTAATTTCCAGCTTTTTGAAAAAGGGGATGTGAATGGTGAAAAAGAACAGAAAGTCTTCACCTTCTTAAAGGTAAGTGAATTACTGACATAAGCCCCTTCTTCCCTAATATTCCTACATTGAGTGGGTATGGTAGAAATGGATCCAAGGGCTCATTCCTGAGAGTGGGACTGGATGCTTTGGAGAAGAGCTTCAGATCAGCGTAGGGATCTGGGTTTCACCTGTTAGTATTTATGGGGTGCTGGCTTTACGTGGTGGACAGAGTTGGGTAGAGCAGCAGTTTTTACTGTGATCAGTTTCTCTTGCTCACTGCTTTCATTAATTCTTTCAAGATATATTTATTGAGTTCTTGATATCTACAAGGCAGTTTGCTAAATAATATGAATAAAAATATGAATAATACATAGTTTGTACCCTTAGCTAGTTCATACGGAAAGGGAGATCTAGAAATCAACAGATATAATACAATGTAGTAAGTGCTTTTTATGAAACATCAATGTTTAGATATAGTAAATGCCAGACCTGAAAAGAACCCAAAAGATCACCAAAGTGAATTTTTCCTAAGTGTTGAAGTCTAGGCCAAGGCTGGTTCATGTTGAAATTTTCATAAATCCTCTTTAAATTGAACAGAACAAAACAGTGGAAAGAGAATTTCAAAAACTCAATTTGTCTAATTTATAGGGCTGCCACACACAATTTATTCTTACAGTGATCTTTTTTACACTAAATGATAAAACAATGATGTTTTTAAAACTTTTTCTTATTTGACAAAACAAAACGTTGGTAACTCTATGTTAGTCCCAAAAGGTATTTAATGAAATGCTGCTAGCCTGTGGAACCCCAAGACCTGGGAAACCACATTCAAATTCAAGCTATTCATTTTTTCAAACCAAAAGTGGAAATATGGGGGAGCAGGGGGAAGAAACAGAGAGAGGGAGTAGAGTTTTGCTATAAAATCTGCTATGGGTTCTTGTTTATTGGAATGGTGTTGATTCAGAGAAGTTTTGGGGTTTATTAGGAAATTAAAGGATCCAGGGACAGGAAGGAGTAGATTACCTGTGGGTGAGAATACCCTGGATGATCAAAAAACAGAAACTATTTTGTCACGTCTCTTTTCCATTTCTTTCCTTCAGCACTCCTGTCCTCATCCCTCTGACATTTTGGGGTCATCCAGACATATCTTCTGGGAACCCATGAAAGTCCATGATATCCGCTGGAACTTTGAGAAGTTCCTGGTGGGACCGGATGGAGTACCTGTCATGCGCTGGTACCACCGGGTTCCAGTCAGCACAGTCAAGGCAGACATCCTACAGTACCTGAAGCAATTAAAAAGTAAATAGGAAGGCTTAGAATTGGGGAAAATAGCCATCCTGCCTCTCACCTAAATATCTATTCAAAAAAGATTCGCCTTACCACCACATTGCCTTCCTAAATGGCCTCCACTTGACTAAATAGCCCCTATGTCAGCATTTCCAGCCTGCACCAAGTGGATTTATAGTCTGATGATTACTGCTATTTCTCCAAGCAAGAGTATGTATATAGGTGAAGACAAAAAGAATGGAAACCCAGGATCCTTGGACCTACATTAGAACTAAAAAATTTATGTCCATTAAAGGGAAAGTATCCTCCCATGAGGATGGTTCAGAATGCCTCAATATTCTAAAGAGGGATGTCCCTAGACACTGACTCCCCCTTTCTCCATCTATAAGATGTAGGAATAGCAATGGAGTGGTAGTACTGTCTGAGTTTCACAACATAAAGTTTTTCTCCCCCAGGACACACACATATTGCCCCATTTCCAACTCATTTTGGTTTAATCTTCATCTATAGATTCCCCCCCACAACACCTGTCATTCTCCTGAAGGAGCCCTAAGGGGGAATGGGAACCTCCCCTCATATGAAGGGAAGAACATCTGCATGGTAACAGAACCATAGCCTCTCTCTGGCTTGGACCCTACAAGTACTTTCTTTACTGTCTAATCCTTAGTACATTCAGGTCATGAACAGAAATGCCCTCCACACTTTGAAGGATAAGTTTTCTCTCTCAATTGTAGACTGCACATCTTCAGAACCAGTTCTTCCACTATTCCCAATAAAATGTCTTATGCAGCATCTGGGATCACTGTTGTGGTTTAAAAATCCTATCCTGTGCCCAATTCATCTACCTCCTCTTTCTCACTCTGAGTACCATAGATGCTTTATTGCCCAGAGGACACCCTACCACCTGTTTGGATTGAACTATTTAAAAAAAAAAAAAAAAAAAAAAACCTGTTATAAATTCTAACCTCTATGTCTGTGGTTATAATCTCATTTGGGAAATGGGTTGTCTTTGTTATGTTAATGAGGGAGGATTAGTGAACAGTATATCTTGAGTCAATCTCTTTTGAGCTAGAAAAGAGATTAAACAAGCAAGCAGAGCAAAGATGGGGGAAAATAGGTGCCAAGACACGTGGAGATCTCCAAGGAACTAAGAAGCAGAAGCTAAAAGAAAAAATAGGGGCAAACTAAGGACTCTAATACATGGCATAAATAACACTATTAAACATAACTGAAAATTCACAAATAGTAGAAGACACTAGATGTGACTTGGACCTCCTAAAATATAAATATCTATGTGCATTAAAGACTTAGCCAAAAGAGTAAAAAGGGAACCTACAGACTGGGAAAATTTTTTGGCAGAAACACATTGAAAAAGAGATTAATCTCTGAAATTTATAGAAAGTGTCAACACCTCAACAACAAAATGACAAACAACCCAATTAAAAAATGGACAGAGGACATGAACAGACACTTCACTAAAGAATATATTTAGGTAGCTAATAAACGCATGTTGAAATGCTTGGTATCATTAGCCATTAGAGTCAAAACAACAGTGAGATATCATCTCAACCCACCATTAATAGCAAAGATCAAAAAAAAAAAAAAACCAGAAAACAACATGCTGGCAAAAGTGTGGCGAGACTGGCCCTCATATACTGCTGGTGGGACTGTAAAAAGGTACAACCACTGTGAAAAATGGTATGGCATTTCCTTAAAAAGTTGGAAGTAGAAATACCATACGATCCAGAAATCCCACTACTTGTTATACATCCTAGAGAAATAAGAGCCGTGATATGTATATGACAGATACATGCCCACCCATGTTTGCCACTTTATTCACAATAGCAAAAAGACAGAAACATTGTAAGTGCTCATCAGTGGATGAATATATAAACAAACTATGGTACATACACACAATAGAATGCTATAAAACATTAAAGAATAATGATTAATCTGCAAAACACTTCATGACATGGATGAACCTAAAGGACATTCTGCTGAGTTAAATTTGTCAATCAGAAAAGGATAAGTATTGTATGAGACTATTACTGTTTAAAAAAAGCAGGGTTCGGCCAACAAACATATGAAGAAATACTCACGATTATTAGCTATTAGAGAAATGCAAATCAAAACAACAATGAGATACCATCTTGCTCCAGCACTAGTAGCAAAGTTCAACAAGACAGAAAATAACAAATGCTGGC